CAATGTTTCCCCTGCAAGTCAGGTTGTGTCAATGATCAGCACTGCGAGGATTCATGAGGGAATTGTGTCCTAGTGCCTGCCTGCGGTGGATGCAACGAATCGTGCCAGCGGCGTTAATACATTGTCCCACTTGCCATCGCTCGCCCATGAAAATGTAAACTGAGCATATTTGGGGCATATCATAACCATGTGTCATTATTAATGTTGCTGTCATTGACATGCCTTTCAGCGCCTCTCGATCAATCCACTTGTGCAAACTGAATAGGCTGTCATTCACCCTGGGCAGTGGAGTGACCTAAGGTTCCCATGTCCATCCGAACAGGGTGCCTTGGCATTCGGAACCTCAGATTCCTTGTTTATAACTGAAAAAACCAGACCTTTCAGCTTCTTCATGTCCTTTGATTTCAACTTTCCGAAGTCTCAGCTGAGTTTCAGCAACTAAGGCACAGTATTTGTGGGATTTCACATTGCCAGCCGTCGACGCTTGGTGAAGCTTAGCAACACAATCCGTCAATTGAAAAAGTGCACCCATTTTTACATTGGAAGTATATTGCATAAGAACCGAAGATATTACATTGGAAGAACTGAGGGTATGGAAGTCCTACCGAAGCAGCCTTCATGCTTTCATAAATAATGTGATGCCAAATGGGGCCCAACAGCATTCCGCTTTTGTTTAGCACATGCAGTTCATGACTTTGTGTCTTCAGATTGAGAAGAGAAGGATAGAGAAGGGAAGGAAAGGGGGAGAGAAGAGAAGGTTTCATGTAAGCTGTGACTACTTCATACTCACGTGCACAAATGGTGGACCTTGCTCAGACCCGCCCGGAGGTGGTTTGACCTTGCTTCAAACCCTGGCGCTTATATATATATATAGAGTATTTTATTTTCCAACATGTAGGTTTATTTCCCAACATGTATATAGGGAAGGGGAGGGGAGGCGATGCATTCGACTGGGAAGTGGACAACCTATCATTAGGAGGTCTATCATTAGGAGGTCGTTTCGAATGAAAGCAATCCTCCCTGTGCTGGGAGGTCACGTGGTTTGTTGATGTCGGGCTGTCAGACTCCAGTCAAATGCCGGCATATCCGTCTTGGGGCAGAACTTAATGGGTGCCTGGGACCTCCAAGGTTCAACCAAGCATAGTATATTGACCCAGGATTTTAGGGCAAGTTCCAATCCGCTCAAAGTTGGTGACGAGAAGGGCGCCATGCAACCCAGGTATACCTGAGAGGGTAGTGTGCCCAGTGGCAGGCGACATGGCTAATGCCAAGCGATGAGCTTGCCTCCTCTCAGATGCCCCATAGCATCAAGCACGCCAAAGATATCAATCATGTTCAATCGATCCGCCTATCGACGGTGCTCCATGATCCCCCATTTGATGGTGCAGTTTAGTGGAAATGACAATCCGACGGATTCCAACAGCAAAGTCATATTCAATCCTTTGGAGGGCGATGTTTGTGGATTGGACATCATTTGTAATTAGCTAATTCCACTTAGCTTGCAACACGAAGGAAGGACGTGACCGTGACAATGGAATTTCCGGGAGTTTGGCGTGTCAGGCCTGATTTGAGGAGGTATATGATTCAAGAGTTTGGTGTGTTTGACTTCGAATCGGATACTGTGAGGCTTCAACTACGTGTTTGTGCCGCGACATTGTCATATGGAAGAAGCTGAAGCTTTTTGAAGGTAGATGATGGTAGTTGCACCATGCGTGACCAAACATTCTGGCCTGCTGCCACAATGACTTAAAACCTGCTGTCTATAACTATATCGTGGCGTGTCTTTGGTGCAATGGGGCCGACGAAGCTGAATCAAACTGCTGTCCGATGACATAGTGGCTCATTGACTCCAACTGCCAAACCCATGGGTGTATTAGGCATTATTAGGCCAATGCGTGCCACTACACTAGAATACACTATGATTCTGAACATGAACTATAATGTCAACCCCGGATTAATAAACCCCACCCACATGGTAGGTCAACAAGGTCAACAAGGTCTGAGATACCACTCATGAGGTCCACCCCCCGTGAATTATCGGCTCAGGGAGCCATCGTAGTCGCAGTCGTCGTCGGTAGTAGGTAGTAGGTAGTAGGTAGTAGGACTGGTAGTAGGTAGTAGGTAGTAGGTAGCAGGTAGGAGGTAGTAGGTAGTAGGTAGTAGGTAGTAGTAGTCACAACAAGTTTAAACAAGCACAAAGAAAAGGCCAGGGACACAGGATCAGATTAATAGGGGGTAGTAGTGCAGGTTATTGATGGGGGACCGGCCCTCGTGAGGGGTACCCTTTGTGAGCTTGTCAAATGATTGTTTTTAATTGTTTTTTAATGAGGCAATTTATAGGCCCTGAGCCCTAGACATTTTTAAGGATTTCATCAAACATGTAGTAGGTAGTAGGTGGTGATGGTGGTGGTGGTGGTGGTCGTGGTAGTAGCACGTAGCATTAGCAGTAGCAGTAGCAGTAGCAGTAGGAGTAGGAGTAGGAGTAGTAGTAGTAGTAGTAGTAGTAGTAGTCGTAGTCGTAGTCGTAGCAGTAGTAGTAGTAGTAGTAATACGAAAAATTGACCTGGTTGTGGGCTCGGATTAACTGGGGGGGATTGTTGGTAGAAAACTAGACCATAGGGGGGGAAATCAACAGCGAATAATACTTTTAGTTTGGGCAATTTTTGGCGGCTTTGTGGGCTCGGGTTAACTAGGGGGGATTGATTAATCCTAACTTGACATAATTATGTACACCTCTGGTGGCTTGTGCAACACCGAACTAATAAGGAGACGCTTCTGCTTTGAACATTTGCCGGGCAAGGGAATATTGAACCAGGCCATTTGTGGCTTTTAGTCTATCAATCAGAGCCCGAAAGGGGCCAGCCTTCCTCACAGGGGGGTCAAAGAGTGAGCATGGGGTGAATGGGCGTCACTGGTGGCCAAAGGCGCCTTCAAGCGGAGGTCTTTCAATTGGCGCAGTACCATAGTGCACGTTTGGCCAGCCAGGGTTGAGAAAAGACTTTGCCAAATTGAAGTGCTGAGCCCGGAAGGAACAGTTGAAACCAAGAATTCCAGAGGAAGATGAGCAAATACCTCAACCCTGGCCGCTGTCGGATATAAGATCACCGTCAAAATGCTTTGGAGCCTCGGTGCCCGCTGAATGCAGTGGTCGAAGCCCATGTGGAGCCAAGGATGCATATCAACATATTTCCTTGTCTAGCAGACTAGCGTGCCGGCTTTTGGAATTTGTTGGCATAAACATCGGCTGAAAAAGGATGCGGGCGCAATTGCAAGTCTTTCATAGTTAGTGTTGTTCCCCACCTGTCAGGTAAGGGTCTCTGGATTTTATGTCAGCGGTACCCGGAGGACCATTTATTTCGAGATGCTCTTTATTAAACTTGGTTGTTTTGTTTTTTGCCCTGGTGGTTAGTCAAGGCCAAGGCAGGAAGAAGGGAGGGGAGCAATTCCAACTTAACTTGGAGCATACCTTTTGTAGACTACCCGCCCCTAAATTTCAGAGTTGGGAGGAGCCAATGCAACCCAGCACCACCTGATGGCAAAATTTTAGAGCAAGAAAATGTGAAGATTTCAGAAGGCTGCGCTTCTTTCCTGGATTGTGCGTTCTTTGGGGGTCTCCAATTTCCTGCCTGCCGCACCATCCATCAGAATCTGTCTTTTCAATATGCTGCCTTCCACTTTCCTGCCACTTGTTGAAGCCCAAATGAACATGCTGCGCGGGCTTTGCCCGCCCTCCACTCGCCCTCCACCCTTCATCGCCTTCCTCCTCCGCCTCCTGTTCCAGCTGTTCCCTGCATGCTCCGGGCTGGCATGGTGCGCCGTTGCAGTGGTGCGCGCTCTAACGGCAGTGATGCGCGCTGCAGATTGGGACCTTGGCCAGTTCTTGCAGCACAGCACACTCCAGAACACATGTGAAAGAATGTCGGATGACATGTCAGACGCAAGATGACAGAACACATGTCAGAGCACACCACAGATTTGATGGCAGAACAAGTGTCAGAACAAACGGAACAAATGTCAGAACACAAATCGGAACCGAAGTCGGACCATATGTCACAACACAGGTGAACATGCATGCCCTTTTTGATGCGAGAACACGTGTCAGAACGTATGCCAGACTTGACGGTGGCACACATGTCTGAACACATGCCAGAAAAAATGTCAGAAATTGTGCCAGTGCACATGTCAGAGGCAGCGTTTGTCAGGATAGCCTGTCAAATCCTGAGCCCTGCGCCCCTCCAACTCTCACTTAACAGTGTACCGGGGATCGCTTGAGGTAAGGTCTTTTTGGCCTGAACCTGTTTCAGATTGTAGATATATATATATATATATGTACCCCTTGGAACGCACAAAGTTGCACAAACCGAGCATTCAACATTGATGCTGCTCAATGTGGGCCGTTGACTTCATCAAACAAAATCGCCGGCATCCTCAAGGACAAGAGAGAAAAGGGCGCCTCAAAGATGACTGGGCATCCTGAACACTCCAGGGGACACAACGTGAGTGCCTACCGCATCCATTAGTTGGCGGGGACCACGCTATATCATACTTAAAGTCTCAAAAACGATGCATAAAGTATATTGGTGCTCAATCAGATCCAAGCTTATCGCACGAAAATGACAAGAGATTGGTTTAACGCACTTGCTCGTGACTGGTGACCTGCACTCTACTGCTCAAACACAGCATAGAATGTGACCCATGTCATCTAAGAAGGAAGACATGAACATGAACAAAGGGAAACACACCCACAAATGCTTTCCCCCATCGTTTGCCTCCGCGACACACACACACACACACGTCACATGCATACATATATATATATATATACATATATATATATATATATATGCATGCACACACAGACACACACACCCACACGCAACACCCGGAGGATGCTGTCTTAAATGTTTTATTCATGTGATGACATTCGAGGTGAGGCCGATTTGCAGACACATCTGATCAAGCGGCCAATGGACAGGTCAACTCAAGAAACAACACGAGATCAGCAACGGCGCGCACAAGCAGGTGCCGTTCCTCAGGAGCCATCGCCTGCGCAGATGGCTTGTGGAAACCATGGAGGCTCAGGAAAACAACTTGTGCACAAAGAGACATCCTAAAGCAAATTGGGACATAGTGGAACGGGGTTTTCTTCCTTTTTTTTTGTGTGTGTGTTTTAACATTCGAAAGCCTTGTGAGATCTTGTGAGGGTGATGCGATCACGCATTTTCGTGGCAGGGCATCTACATATCCATAAGCTCCGACGATGAGCATGAGGAGTTAAGCACGATTTGCTTTTTTGTCTTTACCTCAAGAGTTTTGACGCGAATGTAGGTTGAGCACAACCGGTTGGTGCCAGGAGGAATTGGAGCAATTTGTGGAGGATGCAGGCCATGCGCTGAGCAGCTTGAGTTGTATCCCCCAGCCTGCCCACTTGTTCATGTCTAAACAGTAGACACTAGAGACATTGCAACGTGTTTGTCTGTAGAGCGCCAGAAACATCAAACCAGACATGAATGCCATTCCGCGGTGATACCGAACCGACGTGATAGACACATATATAATCGACACATTTTAGATCCTTTTGCTACCAATGGTGCCCAGTAATTAGGATGGACACTTGCCTTACGCCTTACTACTAGTAACAAGAAGCTACTAGGGGCTCCTGGCATCACTACTAGGAGCAAGGACGCTACTAGGGGCTCCTGGCCTTACTACTGGTATCTACTCGTAACACTTGGAGTTTGAGTTGCTCTAAGGTGATGCGGGCATGACCCAGCCATGCCCGCAGGCTTCCCCTGTTTCCCCCCAGCAGGCGCCAACGTTGGCGCGATGATTTCCTGTGAACCTCGTGCTTTCGGATGTTATCTCACTGAGCAGACATGTCAGAGCGGGCCTCTACTACAGTATATCTCCTTTGGCCACTGACATTGGGGCAACCTAGCACAGCTCTGTCTACTCATGTTGTTGGACATCATTCATCAACATGCAGAGCCGGGAGACCAGTGGGTGGCATCAAAGCATGTAGCACCTTGTGGGACAGAAGAGTTTTTCCAATCAATCACCAAGAAAAGCACTACTTTGCCCTTTCCGATCGCATCAAGTACCCCGGCACAGGGTTCAGATCTATCTTGTCCAGTTGCGGAAGTGCTCAATCATCCCAAGCAGCTCCACTCCCACAACACTGTGAAACTACAGTAATCGTGTGTGCGACGCAAATGACAAACACAAGTCACTCTTCAATGGTCAACAGCCGCTAGGCATCCGAATGGCCACCCAGTAATAAGCTTGCCAGTCTTGTTGCGGTTGACAATAACTCATTTGTGTTGGAAGCATGTTGGAATATGTTGGAACTTGTTTTGTTGCTTGTGCACCGCAATTGCAAGATAACAAAGAGACTCAGCATTCAGACAAAGTCAAATCGGTCCACCCTGAGGTCCAGTTGAGCAGGCCTACATGATCTAACAAGTGTCCGGCCTGGGTCGACACATGTTGCATAGTGACATAGGTCTCTCTACTATTTGGCTTGGAGGGTTGCTGCTTCGGAGGGTGGAAACTTAACACCCAATGGCGGTGTGCATGACAAGCACCAGACATTGTTCCAAGTTAGGAATAAAGGCGTAGTGCGACCTTTGTTGTACTTCAAGTTTCTGAGTAAAAGATTGGGAATGTTGTAGTCAAGAACCACACAAGAAAATGGTCCTCGTACTCAAAGGATGTCAAGGGCAATTTGAGTCGTGAACTCAGCCATTGCAGATCCAACAGGTTTCAACAGAGAAAGTTGACAGAGCCCAGAAGCAAGGGAATCCAACTTGATAAGAAAGACCATTCATCGCAACAGAATTGAAAGTTAAGGCTCAGGCTTAATAAATATACCTGGTGAAGGGATCTCTAAAAAGAATGGGGACCACTTACACCTGCAAAATGCCATTCAGGGACCGATTCTAAAGTGAGGGTACCCTGGATGAAAAAAGACCAACGGCTGAACATGGCATTTTATAGAGTTGACTTTTTCAACAAATAGGTCATCCCGCTCATAGACATTTGGAGTTCCATTTTGCTGATTTGGAGCGGCTTCAAAATTAAAATGTTGGTGAAGCAAAATCGTATGTTATAGCAAAACACTTGGCGGCTTTCTGACGATGTTCTGTTGGAAGTGCATTTTGTACTGAAAGTATGGAGCATTGCAGCATTGCGGTGAATCTTGCACTGAATTTCTTTTGGGTTTTGCGGTTCCTTTCCACTTATATAGATATTGCTGAAACCAAAAGCCGACGAACAAATGATATTTTGAATAGTGCTATGCTTTGTCTGAATTATTTGCCAATGCTTTAAGACTTTAAGTTCACTTGTTTTCTTTTTCTTCTTCTTCTGTTGGAATGTCATGTTATAGTCCTAGCCTCTTCTGGCTGTCTACTGATGCAGTTCAGCTCGATTTTCAGTTCACAGAGAAAATTTCCAGCTTTGTACACCACAGAGCTTGACCTGGTCATTTCATAGAGCCACTTGAAAGTTTTTTTGGTTGCTCAAGGTTTGTCAGCTCATTTGATGGATTTACGGTGGACATCCCATTCTCTAGAGAGTTTTGTTTTCATAGAATGTCTCGTACATGGTCCAGTACTTGATTCACCGGGTATGGCTTAGTGCGTTGCGTGACTTAGCATTGTGCCATTCCGCGTAAAAGCAGTACGTCACGTCGGTGAGAGCCTCCTACCGTTGCTGGTGTTGTATGCAAGACTTTTTGTTGGACTGGATTGACATTCGTATGAACAACCAGTCCCCCCCTGCTGGATGCTACCTTAACTGCATGTGCAATTCTTGGGACAGTGCACAAAGTGTGGAAACCAATTTTGCCCCTAAAAGGGCTTCACGTTTAAGCAGTTGGCACCCCCGCCCACCCACCTACCCACCCACCCACAAAATTGGTGTCATGAGCCGGCATAAACCCCAAGTCTAATTACTCTGACTTGCATGCGAGCTGACTGTGCAATTTCATCCTTCCCCATTTTCACCCGGTGTGCGATTAAACTATGTAGGTTTGATTCGAACGATCAAATCTAACAAAGATCCTTGCCGCATAAATCCTTGGATGAAAGACTGCTGGCGCCGCATGGCGCCGCCACGAGTCGTGTGGCGCCATGAGAGTGGCAGGCTTCGACCCAACAGGGCACCTTAAAAAGAGGCGCAGCGGAGTCTGATGAGAGCCGGACGCCCCCAGATGGGCGTCCCAATGGCAAGGATCAAGAATGGCCATAGTCATGAGTCATAATGACAGGTACGGTCAACCAGAAGTATGGTTGATATACTGTTTATATATATATATATGTACATCGGGAGAGAGAGAGATTGTTCCGAGATTGTTGATTTTTCTGGTCCTTTCGGGCCTTTCGGGAGCAAGATTTTGGGATGGACTCCGGACCACCAAAAGGTTTGTGAGCATTCTGCCGCTGTTGAGGTCAGTGATGGTCAGTGAATAGTACCGCTTTCTGTCATTGTGGTGGCTACAGATTCAGAGAAGATGGTGCAAAGCTTCGGACATGTTTTAGAATCGAATGGATCAATGCAGGTCGCTTTGTGGTGTTTGACCCCGGAACAGTGGACATGTTGTATCCTGTGCCTGTTTCGCAGAAGAGCCCAGGTTGCGACTTTGAGTTTGAAGGCTTTGATAGCGATGAGGACTCTTTGGGCGGTTCAAGCTGGCATGCCACAGTGTTGAAGCAGGTCGTCACAATTTTGGTGTTGCAACGTTTTCCAATTGCGACGTTTGCTGAACTTTGAAGACTCAGAGGGACGTATGAAGCACTTGTACAAAGGAGATGCCGCAAGAAGCGTACATGCTCAGTCTACCTGACCGGTTGATTTGGGTTGCAGGAGTTCATCCCCAAGAGAGCCAGGTTGTCCCGGCCACCTTTACTGCCACAGTGCCACAAGCAAACGGAGGCGGCCGAAGAATTTGTGTGTGGGTGTTAGTGGGGATCGCAACATTCGAGGGCTCGCAGTGTTTTAGATTTGATTATGCAAGATTTGTTCATAGAAAAACAGACTATAGACGATGTATGATTCATGCTGTATGATGATGTGGATGTTCCTAGCGCTGCTTTCCATGGTGTGAGCTGGATAGCGACACAGCATCAACGAAACATATACAGATCCATCATACAAATATGTTGCTTCCGGCTAGGGTTTGCTTCGTGTTCTTGATTGAATGTGTCTTAATGTCATTGACTGCAACACTTCAGAAACCTAGCGTCCTAGCGTGCCTTGGCTTCGTCAAATAGAAGCTTGTGAGCATCAGCCAAACGCACATATCTCACTTTTTCACGAACAGCATGTTGTTGCATTAGGTTGTTCAATCTCAACTCGATAAACATGGCATGACTTGCTTGTGAACCCTTGTTCAATTGGAAACAGTGTGGTGGCGTAGCATCTTTGACGTGCGCCAAGCAAATTTGTCTTCCGTGCCTAGTCCTGGAGTTCGCCGATCTTAGTCTTTTTTGGAACAACCTCTTATCGAACTTCTGGATCCAAAGTGCACAAGGCCTGCAGCAGAACTTCCTCATGGATCACTCCAGAAGAAAACTAATTTTTGCTTTTCTAGTTTCTAGCTTTGTGGTGCTCCTGATTTCGGGGTGGTGAGGCACATCCGGAAGATGAGGTCACTGTTGGTGCTCATTGTTCTTCTCGTTCAGTTTTTGCTTCGAGTCATGATGGGAGGCAGTCCTTTAAGGTGGCTGTTTCTGTTGACTGAATACATTTCTACATGCTGCTGTCGCTTCAACTCTACGATTCAGGTTCAGGATTACCTGCATCTCGTTTCTGGCCTCTTCCGAGATGCTCTTGCCATTGTTTTGGCGCATTTGCATGTGGTTTGCACTGACAGAGTCGGATATTTTTTCCCTTTCATTCTTCTGAACATTTACCTGAAACATTCAACTTCCTCAAAAGATCGCCCCTCTGCATGGTGACAAGTGTGGCACACAAACACATCCGAACCCCCAAATAGTGGATATCTGCTTGTTGGAAGTGCTGACGGTTCTATCAAGGTCACACGTCCTGGACGAACGAACCCGAGTTCTTCAAGGTTGCGAATCTCCGAATGAACGCATGGTTGCCCGCATTGACTGGTGATTTTCAAAATCAACTAATTACCCTGTCGACTTGTGCTTCTCCCTTAACTGTTGTTCTTTGCCAAGTCTCTCGACTTTGCTGCACTCTTGTTGCGGTTCCTACTACGCTTTGAGTCCAAGCCACTGCTGGTTCACTTGGAGAGGGCCATGCATGGAAGTGCAAACATTTTGATTGTGTGGTTGTACGCATGTGCGGAAAAACCACCCGGCTGCTTATGAATAGAGGACCGCTTGGATGTTACAAAATTGAAGGGTGGTGTGCGGTTCACCACACCAATCAGACTCTGAGCACATCGCGTTTGTTGATTAGCCTTCAATAGCTGTCAACACGTGTATATATATACACCTATATGTATATAACACTTTTTGACCCATGGACTTCTGTCCAGAACATGCCTTGCTCATACGTTTTGTGCAACCAAGTCTGGAAAACACTCCAGCCTTTGGGGTTCCAACCAGCTCCAGCTTTTGGACACTCCATGTACAAGACCTGGACGCGAGATGACGAGAGTTGCCTGTCTCAAGAAATTCAACTGCTTGATATCCGTATGTCGAAGTTCTTTTCAACGGTTGTTGGTTGTTTGTCAGTCCTTTGGTTGATATTTTTTTCTCGAGGAGATCTGTGAATTGAGGGGATGCCCGAATGCAAGTTGTTTTCCTGTGGGAATCGTTTCCACCATCCTGTGAACATTTGTGGCGTCGCATAAAAAAAGACTCACAGTGAGTCGCTTGATGAAGGCAGGCTCTGCCTTTGAGCTTCACCGGGAAGTGGGACCAAAGTGACTATAGCAAACATATTCCAGCATGTTCCGTCAAAAAACTCCCTCCCCCCACGTGGTGCACATGAATTGTCAGAGCACTCCAGATGAGGAACCTCCACATATGGGAGAAATCCTTGCCTTTGAAGAAGGTTCAACCTCATTGATCTCTTGCCAACCATGTAATCATATGTATATATAACTCGCCCCCTTCTCCTTCTGATTTCCTGTAAAGTTGATTGATTTCTGTTGGTGTGGTTTGAATTTCATGTTGCTTCCTATTTATTGCTTTTGAAATTCCTTTTGGTTGTAAATTCCTTTTGATCCCTATATTGATTCCTTTTAAATTCCTGTTGATTCCTAGCCATATGTATACACCATATATATATATATACATCTTCAGGTTGCATGTTCTATGCTATATGTTTCGCAGGTGATTGACTGATTTTATGCAAATTCCTATTGATGTTTAGAAAAATATAGTTGATTCCTATCGATGTCCTGTTAACCTCCTAGTGATTTGGTGCTTTCCTATCGATTTCCTTTTGAACTTTGATTCCTATTGATTTCCCTTGTGATTTGCTTATTGATTTCCTAGTTATATATACGCACACCCCATTTTTTTACATCTTGATGAGGTTGGTATTGTCATTGTGCATGTTCTAAATTAATTGTTCTGCAGGTTATTGAATGATGCTTTACTAATTCCAATTGATTTCCTTTTAAGTTTTGTTGATTCCTATTGATTTGCTTTTAACGTCTTTGGTTCCTGTTGATTTCCTTTAAATGCCTTTTGATTCTTATTAGTTTCCCTTTTTTTTGTAACTTCCTGTTGATTTCCTAGCTGTGTATATTTTTATATGCACCCCTTATATATATGTATACCTCGAGGTTGGTAAGGTCATTGTGCATGTTCTATGTTATATGTTCTGCAGGTGATTGATTGATTTCCTGTAAATTCGATTGATTTCCGTTGGTGTGATTTTATTTTCCTTTTTTTTTTAATTTCTGTTTAAAATTCCTCTCGGTTCCATTGATTTCCTCCTATTGATTTCCTTTTTAGTGATTTGCTGTAAGATTCCTTTTGGTTCCTATTGACTTCCTCTTGACGTCCGTTTGATTCCTACTGATTCCTTTTGGATTCCTCTTGACTCCTTGTGATTTCGTTTTAAACCTATTTTGTTTCCGATTGATTTCCTTGCTTCCTTTTGATTTCCTTGTAGATTCCTTTTGGTTCCTACCGATTTCCTTTAAAGTTATTTTGATTCCTGCCGATGTCCGTTTAAGTTTCTTTTGGTTCCTCTTGATTTCCTCGGATTCCCATTGATTTCCTTCTAAATTCCTTTTGGCACCTATTGCTTTCTGTTTTGATTTCCTTTTGATTTACTTGAAGTGGTAGGGAGCCAGGCGCAACCATGAACCAAACGCAAAGCAGCGGGCTCCTTTTCCTGACAAGAAAGGGGATCGGGCCGCAATGGGCTCACGGATGGCAAAATGCCTGCATACACAAAAGAATGTACAAAGGATGGTGCGTGATGGTCATGCGTCCTTTGACTCACCCACCACCCCTCTTTCAACTTTAAGCCTTCTTTTGTAGGCTTTTTGAGTGTTGCGTTGTTGGGCTCGAACCTCCTGCCAAGCATCGTCTTCGACGATGGTCCACTGCCCACAACTCATGACCGACTGGAGAACATTGTTCCCTCTCAACTTTGTCAAACAGTCGGAGGCCTGTTGCGGGCCAGGGATCCAACGACAAAGCGAGGAAGCTTCAGGGTCAGCTAAGCTCTCTCGAAGGGCACGAATGTCACGACCCGTTCTTCTGTCCTGTGGCAATTCTTCACTGGACAGGCAATCTTAGGCTACCTTATCAGCAAAATAGGGCATTGCTTCACATGATCAAACCAGCGGCGCATCACGAAACCAACATCTCTGACTTCGCATAGGATGGCTCTTAGGAATTCAGCATGCTCATAACCCAACGATGCTGCAGCTGCTTCGACAGCGGATGAACTCCTCACAACTCGCTTGCATGAGGTGCTGCACCATTCGATAGGAGCTACTGCACTCACTGTCGTTTGTACCTTCGGATTTGCCAGCATCAGGAAGATTCCCAATTGAGATTTCCCCCTCGGCATTGCTGCCCATGCTCCGTCGGTAGCCACCAGCACCATGATGTCATTCAAGGCACATTCCAACCCCTTGATGTAGAAACACGTTTCTTGCTTGGCCTTCTGAACTGTGGCATTGGCCAGGCGAAGTGTACTTCCAGTGGCATCTACCAAATTCTGCTGCAAATACGACACAGCGAACGCCAGGTCTGGTCGTCCTTGTTTTGCCAACCAACCCAGCTGTCCGACCAAGGCTCGCAGCCGTGATGACTGCTCTGATATCACTGCTGCATTGTCATCCATGGAGGCATTCACCTCCACCTCATGCAATGACTGGCAATAGATGTTCATGTCGATGGTGATCATGCTTCTATCGTCACTTTGGCGCATCACACGCCCCAAGAACTTGCCACTTCCCTTTAGGTCAGTCCAGCTTCCGAATTTGAGCTTCGACTGAAGAACCTTCCAGTCCTCCTCCACCTCCGGACTGCCTGCCAGCAATGCATCGTCAACATGCAATGTCACCAAACCAATCAACTCTCCACCACTGTTGTGCTTCATGAACAAACACGGGATCAGCTTGGATTCAGAAAAACCAATCGATTTCAGCGTATCACGGAATTTCAAATACCAAAGTCGAGGGCTTTCACTGAGTCCGAAGATGCCTTTTCTCGCCTCAAAAATGTCACTTCGATTGTCTGGTCCCAGACGCCACTTGAGGTACTCTGCAATCTCTGGTGGACAGCCTGATGGGATTTGGATGAACAAGGGATCTGTTCGAGGCAACTCCAATCCTTGCAAGAAGGCTGCTGTCACATCAACTATGTTCACCACCCATCCAAGCGTTGTAGCAATGCACAACAACAAGGCGTGCGCCACCGACAATGCAGTTGGACTTGTTGCATCGTACTTCCCAAGATCAGGATCTCGATGACCACCAACACAAA